CCTGGAGTGAGCCCCCGCCCTGGAGTGAGCCCGCCCTGGAGTGAGCCCGCCCTGGAGGAGCGCCAGCGAGGCAGGTCTCACTGCCCCACGCTGGATGGGAGTGGCAGGGATGGCGTCCTTGCATGGGGCTGGCCTCACAGACTTTGAGGTCCCTTCCAGCTGCCACACTCTGGCTCCGCTGGGCATAGCGGGACGTATAAAATATAAATCGGTATGTGAAATCCACGCCCTCCCGCGGCGCCTCCTCCCTCCTCCGAGGAGCTCCCCTGCGCCGGCAGGCGTGCACAGCAGCTGGCGGGGAACTGCCCTGTCCCCAGGAGCATGGCCAGTCTCTGCTCAGTCGGAAGGCCTCAGTGGCCTTTTAACCATGCTGCCTCCGAGATGCTCGCTGTCCCGTTTCGGCTGACACCCCTCTTCCCATCTCCCGCACTCCGAGCACCCGGGAAGGAGAGGCAGGTGTCGGCCAAACGCCGCTGCGGACACCACGCCCCTGAGGCCTGGTGGGAAAGCTCTGCCCCACCGAGAAAAGGACCGTGGGGACAGCACGTGTGGTGACCCCAAATAATGAGGCTAACAGCTCCATGGCGACCTGAGGCTGTCCCCATCTGCCTCCCGGGTCCCCAGGTGCCTGGAGCAGAGGCACAGCTGGCGGGCCGGCAGCGGGGAAGTGGAATCGGCCCAGGCGACACGCGGCGGCCGCTGCTGCAGGCAGCGAATCTCCGTCTCCCACCACGGCTAGCGAACCTGCGTTTCCTTTTTGTTTTTTATGTGCACGCCTGGGTGGCTCTTAAACACAGTTATTTTCATTTTTATACATAATTGTCTTTTCCGTGCAGGCCTGAAAGGCCGATGGCGTGCGAGGCAGGGCCCGAGTGTGCGTGAGCAAACAACTGAGTCACAGCCGTGGTGTGCCGTGGTTACTCGCGGTCCCCTCCAGTGTCCCCACCCCCGCCACTGCCCTGCCATCCGCCGCCACCCCACAAGTAGAGATGGGCCGCGGGGACCTGCTGTGGCCTGGGTGGCGGCCGGGCAGTGTTTCCGGCAGGCCCGGCGTTCTGCGGGGTGGCCGTGGAGGCTGAGCCCTTCACAGCTAGCGCCTGGCGCCGCACTGGGGCCACCGCCAACTTCGCCACCGCGTCGGGTCGTCAGGGCCGGGTTGGGGTATTCCCACCGAGTGGCGACCACTAGGGGTTTCACAGGACGGGGGTGTCCCCAAGCCACTCGGAAGGGCAGGCGCAGGCTACAGAGCAGAGACAGATGCCATGCCGAGTCTCAGCGCTCTGCAGCCCCGGGGCCACTGGGAGGGGCGGGCCGCGGCCCAGCTTTGAGCGGCCCCAGAGCCTGCAGGGAGTGACGGCATCAGATCGCTGTTTGAGGACCTCGAAACCCACCGATCCTGCCTTTTCTTTCTGTTCTCACCACAGGTGATCTTGATCCTGACGAAGTACTACCATGCCGACATGGGGAAGGTCCTGGAAAGTTCTCTGTGGCGGTGAGTCAGCCCGATGGTGGGCCCTTCTCCTCGTGCACCCGCGGGCCTTCCGAGGCGCTCAGCCGAGGACTGAGTGCGCGCCTGGCCCTGACGCCGCGCTGCAGCCCCTGTGGGCCGGTGGCCTCGCAACGTTCCTTCCGCTCGAAATGCATAAAAGAGACCTTGAAAGCAGAGTCAGAGCTTCGGCCCTGGGCACAAACCGCCCTGGGGACAGACAAGTGCTCAGAAAGCGTCTTTGGTTTCTTTTCTTTTCTGTCTTTCTTTCCCCTCCTCTTTGTCCCCGGGAGGAGGAGGTCTGCGCGTGAATTCGGGTCAGCGCTCATTCCCTTTGCTGCGCTCTGAGCTTCACTCGCAGCTCCTGCCGTCCGCCACGGCTCCGATTATCCTCGTTGCTTGGACGCTTTTCTTTCTTCCGGGCTTAGCCGAAGAGCTTGGTAAATAAATAACCCATTGACGACAGCGGCCATCTCTTTATGTGTAAGATGTGAACTCAGCTCGGGAGCAGTGGATGGCTTCTTTGATGTTCCAAATGAGGGAGCGAGACGAGGCTTGAGAGGCCCTCTGGTCATTGTCATTCAGCGGTTACGCCTGCTGCTGGGAAGGGCAGTCCATGCCCAGCCTCTCGGGCTGGGCTGCGAAGTTTCTCCCACGAGGACTCTGCCTCTTCTGTGCACGGATTGCCACCTCCGTGTCTCTGGGTGTGAAACCATTTGGTTTCCAATGTGTGTTTCTCAAGTAATAATTAACTCATTTTTCCATTTGAAATCCATAACAAAACACCTATACTCGCTGGTCCGAACCTTAAGTTGATTTATTTTTGGCATTTGGCTTTGCTTTTAGCAAAGGGTTTCATGATTCGGTCTGTTGGTTCTCACTGGGGGGTTCTGTGAGACTTTGGGAACTCGCTGAAATGGTGCCTCGGTTCGGGTCCTTTCTTTGCGGCGTAAAGAACGGTGTTGCCTCGAGCCTGCTCTGCTGGCCTGGCCACCTGTGGGGCTGCCATCGAGGCGGAGATTGGAGATTGAGACACTCTTGCTCCTGGAGGCTCCGCGCCCCCCTCAGCGAGGTGCCTCCCCCAGCCGGGCCTCCCAGCCTCCTCCAATTCCGTCATCGCCGCCAGAAAATGGGTCAGTGGTGGGCCCCATCCCTGCGTGGAGGACAGATGGTTTCCTGCGCTGACGCCCCACCGTTACTTTCTGCGTTGCAGGGGGGCGTCCGGGCCCTGTGCCGGCGCGGTGTGGGCCCGGCAGTGCACCGCGTCCGCGCGAGGGCAGAGCAGCGCAGCGCCACCGGCCGGGGGCCTCCCCAGCTGCTGCTCCGGGTGTGGGTGCGGGGCCGCGGGGTGTGGGTGCGGGGCCGTGGGGTGTGGGTGCGGGGCCGTGGGGTGTGGGTGCGGGGCCGCGGGGTGTGGGTGCGGGGCCGCGGGGTGTGGGTGCGGGGCCGCTTCCGCAGGCCCGGCAGGGACAGGCCCCTTGGCTGCAAAGCGGACTGAAGTCTCCTGTTCCTTTGAGCGAACCTCCTGGGCCCCTCATTTGCAAGTCAGTCAAGCACCAGGGGGCCAGCGCGGCTGGCACTCACTAATACCGCCCTGACTCCTTCCTCAGAGAGTTCCAGAACACCCGGTCTCTTCCACTCACACCTCCTTGTGTCTGGAAATGGGGAGATGAGAATGTCCAGAGCGGCGTTTGCGTGGGGAACGGCCCTTCTTGCTGCAATCTGTGCCACGTGACAGAGCCACCCGGGCGTGCCCTTGTGGGGGTGGGGTGGCACTGACCTTGCCTGCCCTGGCATGGGGTCTAGGACCCCCGTTTGCGGGTTCCAGAAAAGACTCTTCAGAAGTGGTTGGGAAGCCGAGAGGCCAACCCGCCCACCTGAGAGGCGCTCCGAGGCTGGGGCTCCTTCTCCCCCCAGAGCCTCGGGCGCCTGTGCGGGACACGGGGGAGCCCCGTCGGGAGAGGCGAGGACAGAGGGAGGGAACGGATGAGACGGCCCTAGGCCTGTGCACGTCTGAATTTAGCTTTTCTCTGAAGCAAATGAACAGATTTTAATTTTCCACGTTTCTTTCTCATCACTGTCTCTATGCCAGACGTCTCTTTGCCTTTATTAAAAGTACACGCGAGAACATTAGTCATTTCAAAACAGTTCACCCGCGTGCCTGCCCGTTGGTGCAATTACTTTGTTTATATTTTCTTTTTTACACTGACATATTTATATAGGTACGGACATAGAATAAAGTTTTGTGTGCTTTTTTCCCTCAGTTACAAATTATGTTTCCAGTTTTTCCATGTAGTAGCGTGGTCTGCACTGTCACCCCCCATTGGCTGTGCTCCAGCCCGCGGGCTGCTGCGCTCTGGGACTCAGCCGTGTGCACGGTGCTGCCACCGCGCTGTAGGCCCACGGGACGCGCCGGCCCCTGCTGAGCCGGAGCCAGCGGCAGATGTGCAGCTGGTGTGCTGCAGGATGGGATTCTTCTCGGGAGAAATGTGCTCTGCATCCGCTGCTTTCCTTTCACAACTTTTCTAAAACTTGCTAATTTAACACGAGTGGGGACAGCCCACTGCATTGTTGTTTTGATTTGCGTCCCTTTGTTTCCTAGTGAGGGGGAACAGTTTTCTGTGTTAATCCCTAATCACATTTTCTGTTTTGAGCATTATCCACTGCTGTCCTCGCTCCCTACCATGGGACGTGGGGGCGGCCGGCTCCTGGGGCTGGAGGATTGCCGCCCGTCTGTGCCTGCGTGTGTTCGAGGCGCGCGGATGGGAGGTTTAATGCGAGAGCACATATTACATGGGGTTATTAAAGACACACTTACTGAATGCTCACTGAGCCGCCTAAGAAGTCTCCTGTATAATCACAACGAATGTATTTTTAATGACAGGTGTGGCATTTACACTCTGGGAATGGCTCTCTGAAGTGTAAGCCGAATGAGTTTTTGATTGTCCTGCCTTTGCTGGGCCCCACGTCAGCAGCACCTACCTCCTGGCCTCAATGGTGACCCGATGCTCTGCCCCTTTCTTCTTGTGGTGGGGGGTGCTCTGCTCAGTCTCAGGCCTCCTTCAATCAGTGTAAGAGGCTGGGGATGGGCGGGGAGCGAGACCCCCCCCAGGATTTGAAATGCACAGAGTTGGCTCTTCCACGTGCTCCTCTTGAGAGAGCTGTGGGAGCCGTGGAGGCTGCGCAAAGCCACGTGCGTAGCCGTGCTCTTAGCAGAGACACACGAGAGTCACTTAGAAAAGCATTTAGGCCGGGCGCGGAAGCTCACACCTGTGATCCCAGCACTTTGGGAGGCCGAGGACAGAGGACCACTTGAGCCCAGGCCTTTATGACCAGCCAGACCCTATCCCTATAAAAAATTTAAAAAATTGGCTGGGCATAGTGGTGTGTGCCTGTAGCCCCAGCTACTCAAGAAGCTGAAGCGGGAGAATCGTTTGAGCTGGGGAACTCCAGGCTGCAGTGAGCTGTGATCATGCCGCTGCACTCCAGCCTGGGTGACAGAGCCAGACCCTGCCTCAAAAAGAAACAGAAGAAAAGAAAAGCTCTTGAAAGGTGCCATAGCTTGGGTCCTGCTTGGGGAGGTGTGGGCTCAGTGTAGGTGTTCGCAGAGGTTCCCCCAGGGAGAGCAGAGAAGGGCTGATCCGGTGCGGTGCCTCTCAGCGCGGGCGCACAGGCTCCCGGGCGGGGGTGCGGCGAGGCCCAAGGCGCTGCATTCCTGCCGAGCTCCCACGTGCAGCTGCTGCGGTTCTGGGACCACACTCTCCGTAGCCAGAGGCTGGGCTGGGAGGAGAGAGGCTTAAAAATCCTTCCAGGGCACTTGGAATAATGTCCAGGCCACACCCTCTGCAGAGACCCTCTCCATCCCGCCCCTGCCTCCTACCCCGCTCCTGCCTCAGCTGCTCCCACACCCCCTGGCTCCCCAGGGTCCAAGCATGCCGCCCGCGGGTGGAGCTCGGGCCGTGTAAGGGCCGTGCACGCCCCGGCCGCCCGCCTGGAGAGCGTGTGGTGCTGACCCGCAGGGTCCTCACCGGCCTTCAGTCTTGCCGCCCCCTTCCATGGAAAGAAGCCCCCACATTCTTTGTCACATTTCTCATGGAAGTGGAGGTTCTTGTGTATGGTTTGCCTGCCACCACTAGCGCAAAAGCTGGCTGGGGACGGAGACCTGCCGCGTCCATGTTGTGGATCACCAGCATCCAGAACCAAGCACAGATCTAGCACAGGAGGTGCATGCTGGGCATTGCATGAACAGATTCACGTCTGGACAGAAAAGTGGAGGACAGATGGATGGATGGATGGGTGGGTGGGTGGATGGATGGGTGGGTGGGTGGATGGATGGGTGAGTGGGTGGATGGATGGGTGGTTTGGGAGAAACACTGCTGGGACCTAGAAGACCCGTTACATTTATGGGGTCATCCTGGGGGAATCTGTGGAATCCAGGAGCACAGAGTGGGCTCTGAGGCTGTCAGGCAGAGCAGGAGTGGTCTGGGAGCCACTGGAGCCAGAGAGAAAGCTGATGGTGGCCTCCTTCCCATGCCCTGCCTCTATTCCACGTAGCCCCCAGAATGCCCTGCCACCTCACACTGAGCAAGTCGGCTGGGAAAAGTGGACTTGAAATGTAGGGCACAGTCCCCCAGCCCCGGGGACTCTGTGCCATCCCTGAACCACGATGGCATTAAAGATGTGCCAACCCTGCTGTCTCACAGGCACATTTGACCTTGAGCAGGACCTTCAGCCTGGGGCAACCTCTGGAGTATAGGGAGTGGGATGGATCTTAGGTTTCTCTCAGAAGGACTTGGTTGGATCCTGTCCTTTTTATTGGGGATGGAAGGTGATTCTTTTTCTTCTACTTCAGTTTAATTGTGAAATCTTAACCTACTCAGAAAAGTATAGAATGTGCATAACACATGGCCAGGGTGGCTCACTAAATAATCCGGCATCTCTTCCCCGGCGCCCCTTGTCGTTGGTTTGGGGTCGTGTTTGGGCCGGTGGGTGGTGAGCAGAGACAC